GGGCTTCCTCCCATAGGCATATGACTTACTAGTGGTGTGGTCACATCGCTTTGCCTGATGAAGGGATGGCATGTGGTTCTGAAACGTGTGTTGCGTTTACTCACGACACCATGTTTATAAAACGTCAATAAAAGATGTACTGACAAAGTGGACCTCGGTGTGCTGGTGACCTCATTGACTCTTAGGCCCCATTCACACTGAGCAATTTTTGCAGCGATATCGCTCATATTTCCACGCGATATCGCTCTATGTAGCTTCTCCAATCCATTTCAATGGAGCTGTTCACATCTCGTCGCTCAATATCGCTTGTACCTCCTACATGACCCTGTTTTCGAGCGATTTTGAGCGATTTTGCTCCTGATTGCATACAGCCCATTAGGAAAAAGTCAATATCGCTCATATAAAATCGCGAGGAAAATTGCACGATTTTCATGTCGCTCAGTGTGAATGGGGCCTTAGTGTTCAAGACAGCGCCATCCATTTTAGCACCCACCAAAGCTATATACTGCGATATGTCAGTCTGGAGTGTGATGGGATAGCCCTACTACTAGCGATCCTGTCGCTGGTGACAACATTCCATTGCCACTAAAAAAGGCAAATACTTCTATGGGGTAGCTCCCTCTGTTGGCTGAAATGCTGCTGAATCCCACCCCACCCAGCAGCAGCAAGGGAGCAATGCTTCACTGGTCCGGCCAGCCATCCCATAGGCAACCCTGGCAAACCAGCTGTCGTGCAACTACAAGTCCCATGAGGCATTGCATGATTCTGACAGCCACATGCATGACTGCCAGATGCAGAGACATGATGAAATTTGTAGTTTCAGCACTGCTGGAGTGCCGAGGTGGCCGAACCCCTGCCATAGATAGAAGCAGGTGATTTGTTTCTTCATCCTCTCTCCAGCGTCATGATCGCGGCGGGTATAAGGCCTAATGTGAACGGTTTTATATACTCTATAAACGCCGCATAATATGTTGGCGCTATAAAACAACCGAATGATTGTGTTGCCGCTGCGCTTGTTGAATGAAGGCGAGGTAAGTCAGTGATGTAAAGGAGCGTTATCTCGGTTCTCGGTACATATGGTAATGCCGGCGGCTAAACGATGTGATCCGCTGACAATAGCTATAAAATGATGTTCTGAAAAACAATGAATTAATTTACATCCCACAATAGGAAATGATTTCCGACACACGTGTACTATGGCGATTTGCGCAATTAAACGTATCCTACAGAGATGCCGAATCGCCGGAGCGCTGTAAGAGAAACACGGAGGATAAAAACATATTTCATAAACAAAGATTGCTTGGAGAGAGTGCGAAGAGACACGTCCTGAACAATACATCAAACGCAAAACGGTGTGAGAGAGCGCGGAGTGGCGTGGAGATAATCATCGTGTAAAAATCTGATCATGCCAATGAAGAGACGGGAAGATGTCTGACACACTTTCCGCTCACAAAGGAGAAACGTTTCCAAAATCTGCCCCCCGCTGTTCAGGTAACAGCTATAATGGAGGCGATCGGTAAAAGGAAATATAATCCTAAACGGCTAAAACATTTCCATTACGTGATGTGAGAATTCTCCAAAGTATAGAATACGAAGGGGGACAGGAATTGGGCAGCCAAGGTATTTTGTAGTCGGTGAAAGCGCCAAAGACTTTGGGAAGGCCGGTGGAAGTTCATCTTCCGGTGATCTGCTCTGGCTGCAAGCACTTCAGGGCTCATACACCTGTGGCTATCGGACAGGAAGTGAAGGCAAATCTCCCCAGTGGGACACAGAAGGCAAAAATAGGTGACAGGGGTTATAACTAGGGATGCACTGATACTGGTATCGCTATTGCTGCCGATATCGAGTATTTGGGCGAGTACTCGTACTCGCCCAAATGCTCCAGTACTTATCCCAATATCGGAAGATTTCCTCTGACCAGCAGTGCCACGAGGGAACATGGAGGTGGTTTCCCGGCCAATGAGGAAGCCAGCTCCATGCTGATTGGCTGGGAAGCTGGCTTCCTGGCCAATCAGCGTAGATCCAGCTTCCTGGCCAATCAGGAAGCCGGGCAGCGGGTAATGACCCACCTCCCTGATTGGAAGCTGGCTCCATGCTGGGAAGCTGGCTCCATGCTGATTGGCTGGGTAGCTGGCTTCCTGGCGAATCAGGATAGAGCCGGCTTTCCGGGCAATCAAGACGCCGAGCAGCGGGTAATGACACGCTGCCCGGCTTCCTGATTGGCCGGGAAGCCAGTTCCATGCTACCGGAAGTACCAGTATCAGTACTCGGCATCGGCGAGTACTAAAATAAATATTGGTACTCGAACTCAATATCGAAACACCGGTGTCGGTGCATCCCTTGTTATAACCCTCCCTTACTCTATACAAAGTAAAGTTCTACTTCAAGTACACCTGCGGGTGGAAGTCCATCTTCTTGCTGAACGCACATGCCCTGCAGGGCTCATACACCTCAGTGTCGCGGTCACATCTCCGTCCCCTCTCTCCCTGGCCAATCACAAATCAAATCATGCCAGGCTACATTTGGTGATTGGCAAGGAGGAGAGGGGAGTGGAGATGCATGAGACCTGCCGCGCTTACAGCCAGAGCGGGCATGTACGTTCAGCAGAAGATGGACTTCCACGCACAGGTCTACTTGTAGTAAAACTGAAGCCACAACTTTTTGTTAGTTTTGGATAGAATAATGAAGGGTTATAACCCGTCAGCTTTTTTTTTGCCATCTGTGTCCCTCTGGGGAGATTTGCCTTCACTTCCTGTCTGATAGCCAAAACAGGAAGTGAGAGGAAATCCCTCCAAAGAGAGGGAAATCCCTGGTGGTCAGCAGGGTCATCAGAACTAGTGTCCCCATTGGAAGAGTTCCCATCTTTTCCTGTTCTGGTGGCAACCAAAAATGTGGAATTTTCTTTCACTTTCAGCGATTGTGGTCACCAGGACAGATAGAGAGGGTGAATCTCCCCAACGGGGACACAGACAGCAATAAAAACCCGACACGTGATCTAATCCTTCTTCACTCCATCCAAAACTAAGAAAAACGTATTGGGGAGTAGGAGCAATCTTCTTATGGCATTGTGCCGCATTAGGGTTCTACGGGGACTGCCTAAGGAGGAACTTCCCCTCACCTAGCTGAAATGACATTTCCAATCCCTTATCATTGTCCCTGTAGGAAAATATAAATACTAGTCCCTGGAATCCAGCGTTGTCCCCCTTGCAGGGAAATTCTCCTTGTACCACCATTTTGGAACAAGATCCTGTGCATGCGTAGAAAGGCCGCAGATCTCTGCCATGTCCCATAGACCAAGCAGAGATCCGAGCTGTGTCTGCGCAAGTGTGAGATCCCCTGCACATGGCCAGACCACCGCCGAGACCTGGCAGAAGAGACCAGCTTCATGTATGTGCATGCGTGACATCTCGCAGAACTGCCTCCTGGGATGTGTGATGTAGATACCCAAAAGATATTTACTGTATGAAATGTTTTTCTGCGATTGTGTAGGAGGGGAGGACGAATGAGAGAACATTTTTCTTCATGGCTGGAGGTCCACTTTAAGTTGTGCGTCGCAGTGGACAGCATTGTTTTGTCTATGAGCCCCTAAAGAGGAATGTCACCCATAGCTTCAAAATGACAACAAATACACCTTTAGAAATGTTTAGTGATGGAATCTACACACACATACTTCTAGATCATTGCCGGCTTTGTATTCTTTGCATTCCTTATTTCTCTTTTCCTCCCTATTCTCCTCGCAGTGGCCATCTTTACTAAGGGCTTGTCCACATCATGTCCAGACCAGAACAGTTTGTTCCCGACCAAAAAAGCATCTCACTGTACCCCTATGGTAATTCTGGTCTCCGTTCACACCAGCGCAGTCTGTTCCAGTCCAGACAAATTAAATACTGCTTGTCTCATTTTCTCTGGTCCGGAATGCACTGGAATGCATTGAGAAATGCATCAAAACTGCATACTTACACATGAAAACTCACTGGACTGCACCTGAAAGCCCATTTTAACCTAAAAAATGAAACCCGCTCCAGAACGTGGCAAAATCACTGTAAAAACACAGCAAAACGCAATGCACTGCGTTCCAGATCTGGTTCAGAAAAATGGTGTGAACCTGGCCTAAGGGCAGATAAATCCATCTTCCTTTACTTCCTGGAACTCTGGTACATGTGACTAGGACATGTGACCATGCACATCATCTCGGGAGGAAAATGCCTTTCCCTGAGGTTACAGATGAGGTTTTCAGTAATGCTCTGCTGATGTAACCTTCCCAGGATGCATCGCTTGGCTATGATTACATCACTAATGCCCAAGAGGACTAGGAAGAAGAAAAACAATAATTAAAAGTACAAGAAAAATGTGTTTGTTTAATGAATGTAAGATGATTTCATATCAGCAGGCAGAGGTCGCCCACACCCGTACGCGTGGCACATCAATGCCTGCGTTCCGGTCAGAAAAAATGCTGCATGCACTATTTTTTCTGACCGAACCCGACCAGAACGCAGGCATTGATGTGCCACACGTTCAGATGTAGGCGATCGCACTGCGGCCGGGAGGCGTGGCTGCAGTGCCATTGGCTTCAATGCACCGCCACACCCCTGAACGCAGGGATCCGCTCGGATGCGATCTAGTGCGTTCCGGCTCCAAATGGGGCCGGAACGCACTGTTTGTGGTGTGAACTAGCCCTAAAAGTGCTGACATAAACAGGAACTGTGACACCCAGAAATGGAGGTCTTATACTGTAATTAGAGCATTTCCGGGGACAGATGCTTACACATGACACTGTGTCCCTGGAATCTCTCTGCACTGACAATACATAAGCCTCCTGGACTCCCTGTGGTTCCGCAGACTGTCACACCACTCCAGTGTTATCCCTGGTTCACGCTGACAGCCTCTGTCTCCTAGCAACACACAGCTCGGCTCATACACACCATCCCATCACGTGAACAATCCGGGACGTGGTCATGTGATACCCCGAACCCCGCCCCGGAGGAGGGCTCATAGGCATCAGGGTGACGTAATTCCGGGACACACAGCACGTGTCTCGTGCAGCGTCGGTGCTCGGGTGTGGGTGACGTCACATCAGTGATCCGCCGAGAATGAAGATCACCCGGCAGAAACACGCTAAGAAGAACCTGAGTTTCTACCGGAACAATTTCCGCTTCCGGGAGCCCTACCAGGTGCTACTGGACGGAACCTTCTGCCAGGCGGCTCTGAAGAATAAAATCCAGATTAAGGAGCAGCTGCCCAAATACCTGATGGGGGAAGTGCAGCTCTGCACCAGCCAGTAGGTGTTATCTTAGTACAGCGCTGTGCCGACCAGTAGTTGCCTCTGTAGTGCGCTTCTGCTTTAAGCCACTAGATGGCGCTATAGGCTCGGTACGGCAGTTCTCCACCAGCCACTAGGTGGCGCTAAAGAGCAATGCATACAGCCTGTCGGTGCTGCTGTGGTCACTGTAGTGCAGATCTTCACTAGCTTGTTGGTTTTTCTGTATTGCAGTATAGGACAGCTCTGCACCAGCCAATAGGTGTTGGTGTAGTACAGTCTTGTACCGACCAGTACTTGCCTCTGTTGTCACTGTAGTGCAGATCTTCTCCACCAGCCACTAGGTGTTGCTGTATTTCAGTTCTCCACCAGCCACTAGGTGTCACTAAAGAGAAGTGTATTGCAGCCTGTAGGTGCTGCTTTGGTCACTGTACTGCAGATCTTCTCCCAGTCACTAGGTGTCGCTACAGTCACTGTACTGCAGATCTTCTATGAGCCACTAGGTGTCGCTACAGTCACTGTACTGCAGATCTTCTATGAGCCACTAGGTGTCGCTATAGTCACTGTACTGCAGATCTTCTATGAGCCACTAGGTGTCGCTATAGTCACTGTACTGCAGATCTTCTATGAGCCACTAGGTGTCGCTATAGTCACTGTACTGCAGATCTTCTATGAGCCACTAGGTGCCGCTCTAGTCACTGTACTGCAGATCTTCTAGGTGCCGCTGTAGAGCAGTGTATTACAGCCTGTACTGTTGGTGCTGTGGTCACTAGTGCAGGTCTGCGTTGTTGCCTCTGTAGAGCAATACAGTACAGTCACAGTATTTACTACCAAAATACAAGTCTGCAAAGTCAGTAGACACTGGTGTAGTTATTATGGTATAGATCTGCACCTATCACTAAGTGTTATTGTACTTCCCCTGCACCTACCTGTAGTTATGGATATAGTCACTGGAATGCAGATCTGCACCAGCCAGCAGGTACCCCAGTAAAACAATGCAGTACAGATGTGCTCCGGTAGGCAATGCTATAACTGAACTCTGCGTCATTAGGTGCTACTATAGTACAGATTTGCTCTATACTTTAGGTGTTGCTGTAGTCATTGTAATATATCACCAAGGGGAACTCCAGGTTTTTTTTTTTTTTATGGGTATCCCTTTAGGATTCATACCAGACCCCTATCTAGGATAATGGGATAAAAGGTTGACAAACGTTGTGCTTCAATATTGTAGTTGCATCTAAGATTTGGCCAGTAGGTGGGGCTATAGTACATCATAATACACCCACTAGAGGGCAGTACAGCAGCTCAATAGCAGGCTGCTTGCCAATAGTGCTAGGGCAGTGTTTCTTAACCTTCTTGGAGCCTAGACCCCCTTGGTAACATTTGCCGAGGCTGCCTGGCCTACCGATCAATTCCAGCCACTTGGTATCGGTGCATCCCTAATTATTATTTCTTTATCTTATCTTTTATTTTTTATCATTTTCATTTTATTATTGTTTACTTTTTTATCACTTTTTTTAATATTATTTTTAATTTCTTAATTTTTTTTTTTCCACTTAACTTTATTGCTATCACACAAGAGCTAACGAGCCCCTGTGTAATAGCATTTGAAGGTGAAAGGTTCTCTTCGTTCAACCTGTCACCTTCAATACAGGAGTTCTAACACAGCACTGTGCTGGCTCTCCTGTGACAGCTTAGAGGGGAAGGCTGCGATAGCAGCGTTCTGTCTCAATGTTCACATGGAGCAGAGCTGAGAACAGACTTTCTCCAATCTTTTCCCCGCTCTCCGTCCTGAAGCAATATCGGGGGTCCTGAAAAGCCACGATGGGGAGGCGGCTGGCAGAAGAGGATGTATAATGGAGGAGGGTGAGGGGTTGGGACACAGCAGCAGGCAAATTACAGCCGCCGAAATCTCTTGACCGGCTCCCCTGCTGTACATTTAACCCTGCAAGCAGGGCTAAATGTAGGACGAAAAAACACTCGCCTGCTGTCAGCTCCTCCCTGGCTGCAGCGACATTTGGCAGCCAGTGTGAGAACTGACACTGCTGCGCTAGAATGAGGCTGAGGAGCCTCTCACTTAGCGCAGCAGGCCCGCTTTTGGGTTGCGACCCACAGGTTGGGAACAGTGTGAATCAAGCCTTAGAATGGCTTTGTAGGGCCCTATGGATGACTGCAGTCCTTTGCACCAGCCTGCAGGTGGCGATGGAGAGATCAGTAGGACTTTGCACCAGCTCTATGCAGCATGCTTTTACCCCAATTACTGAATCCTGCTATATGACATTGTGCGCTTCATCTACGGGTCATCAGCTTGTAAATAATCATTGTTTTTTTAGCTGCTGCGCCTGGTAATTCCCTCATTCTCTCTTTCAGCTGTGTTTTGAAGGAACTGGAATCCTTGGGGAAGGAGCTGTATGGGGCCAAGTTAATTGCCCAGCGTTTTCAGGTGCGGAGCTGCGCTCATTCCAAGAGCCCTGTCGGCGCCTCAGCATGCCTGTTATCTATGATCGCAGACAATAACCCGCACCACTATTTCGTCGCCACACAGGTATGCCAGATGTATCATTTGAATAAAGATCACTCCGGGGGTGGGCCAGCAAGATTTCTTTGATTTTTGTAGCTGAGAACTAGAGCATCCTGGGAATTCAATTAGACAACAAGACGGTGGGGTGGAGAGAAGTCGCGGCACCTCGAAGGAACATTTTCCTCTTTGAGATTTTGCAGCGCTGTTTACTTTTATGTTAGGCAGGACTTTGAAGAAATGGTAACTTAAAGTTACAGTATGTGAGAGACTTTCTGGTGCTGATGGAGAGTAGCAGAAGGGCTCGTATACTCTTCATATAGACTGTGCTGATCCCGGATCTGTCCATGTCAACTAGAAGTTTGGTTAGGTGGTCTCTGCTGATGAATGGGTGGGAATATTTCAGCGCGGGATTGTTAGGATTCAGCGCCAATGCTCCAGCTGACTGCTACAGTAAGTATGTTCCCTTTAAAGAAGAACTCCAGGAATTTAAAAAAAAATGTTCCCTTGTAGTAGGGTTACTCCCGAACTGCATGGGTTAAGTGCTCATTATCTTTAGGGGGGTCAAACAAAGCAGATATACCCACCTGATCCTCAATCCTGCCAAGTTGCTAAGACCTGTCCCTGCAGCCTCTTCTCTATTGGGCCCTGGCGGTCTAAGGGGCGCTGACATCATCACATCTAAATCAGGTCCATTGACTTGCATTAGACGTGAGGACGCTGAGGGACAGCCAGAGAAGAGGGGAAAGAGGTGAATTCCCACTGCCTCAGTATATCTGCTTTACTCCATCCCCCAGAGAATGGGGATCAGGTAAATAGAATCCTTTTTCTGAGGTACCCTACTCCTAAACGAGCATTTAACCCTTAAGCCCCGTTCCCACTGCGCGATATGCAAATCGCGCGTTTGTCGCGCGATTTGCATATTGCGCGACATCGCGAAATTTGCCGCGCGATGTTGCGTTCAAGCTTGCATTGAGCAAGCTTGAATCGCGGCTAAATCCGCTCAAAAAAGGGTCCTGCTGTAGCGACACACGACCTGCTACAGCAGGACCCTTTGCCCCATTGGATTGCATTGGAGCGCGATATCGCGCGGTAATTTGCCGCGATATCGCGGGAATTACCGCGCGATAAATCGCTCAATGTGAACGGGGTCTTATAGTGTGGGGGTAGGCCCACTGCAAGGGAACGTTTTTAAAATGACCAGAGTTTTTTTTTAAAAGATGAATTCCGGGAAAAGAAAAATTCCCCTTGCAGCAAAATTATTGGCGGGAAGGGTCGGGTAAATTTTGGTCATGCTTGGACATGCACTTTAAGGGCCAGTTCACACCATAGCATTTTCTTAATCACATGATGCAGTGCTTTTAATGCACGCTATCACACAGCGCATCATTATTTCCATTCATCTGAATGGCTCCCCTTAGAGGCATCGGGAGGTGTGTTTGGGTGCCATTCATATTCTTATTATTCAGGATTTATATAGCGCCAACAGTTTGCACAGCGCTTTACAATGTAAGGAGATCATTACAGTTACAATGTAAATCAAAACAAGATGGTTAGGAGGGCCCCGCCCCTTAGAGCTTACAATATAAAGGGAATTAATATATATTTATTAGGGATATACTGACATTGGTGCCAATACCGAGCATTTGGGCGAGTACGCACACTCGCCCCAAATGCTCCGACACTTACCCCGATACCGGAACTGCTGGTCAGAGGGCAGTGCCACAAAGGAGCATGGAGCCCGGCATTCCTGATCGGCTTGGAAGCCGGCTTCACGTTCCCTTGATACACCGCGAGCCAGCCTGGTTTCCTGACAAATCAAGAAGCCGAGTGACAGGTCATGACCCACCGCCTGGCTTCCTGATTGGTCAGGAAGCCAGGCCCACGCTACCTCGGGATGCTGGTATCAGTACTCGGTATCGGCCAGTACCGAAAGATAAATATTGGTACTCGGTATCGAAAAAAACGGGTGGGATGAGCAGGTTTTCATGCATCCGGAAGTGTAGAACAGCTGAAAGGGCTAGGGGCAGTGCAGCAGCGTTTCAAGCCATGGGCCGCTGGAAAGTTAAGTATAGGTGGTCTTCTATTATAAGTAGGGATGCACCAATACCAGTTTTTCGGTATCGAGTACCGATATTCATCTTTTAGTACTCGCTGCTACCGGTACTTCTGCTAGCATGGAGCCGGTTCCCGTGTCATTACCCGCCGCCCGGCTTCTTGATTGCTCAGGGAGCGGACTCGATGCAGATTGGGAAGCTGGCATTGAGACAGTCAAACCGCATGGAATCTGCTTCCCAGCCAATCGGAAAGCCAGGCAGTGAGTCATTACCCACCGCCCGGCTTCCTGATTGGCCTGGAAGCCGGCTCCATGTTCCCTTGCGGCACCGCCAGTCAGAGGAAATCTCCCTCTGACTGGAAGTTCTGGTATCGGGGGTAAGTATCAAGAGCATTTGGACGAGTATGAGTACTCGCCAGGCCTTAAGAGTCACTAGCCATCAGTTGCCCCACCTAACCCTTAAGGCCGTGACACACTGCACTCAAAGCCGTGCAGAGCGAAGCAAAGCTATCCGGCACTGAGCTTTGCGTGCAGTGTGCGAGCTGAGTGCAGTCAGATGATTGACTGCACCTTCAGCCAATTGGCTGGTGCTTAACAACCGGCCAGACGTCGCATCCCGTCGGTTTATACGTGCGAGCTGATTGGCTGAAGTTGAAATTGTTCATCTCAGCTCCGCGAGCTCTCGCCAGCTGAGGTGCCCAGGAGAAAATTACATGACACACTGCTCGCAAAGACAGTGCGCCACTGCTCCGCGTGCAGTGTGTCACGGCCTCAACCCTGCCCCGGCCTTAACTCCGCCCCTAAATACACCCTCTTAAATAATTTAATGATAGTTGCCGCTTGTAAACGGCAGATTAGGGATTCCTGCTGCAGGAAAACGCAAGTTCCTGACACAGGAATCTCTAATCACACCTGAAATATACTGTAGGTGTGAATGGGGCATAATATACAAATACACTAAAGGTGCCCATACACCTGCCGATTATCCTATGATAGTTGTGGGTGATCCCGCGATCGTATGATAATCGTGCAGTGTATGGAAGGCGTGCGACCGCTTCTACTGTAAGGTCATACGACTTTCGTCTTCCAAGCACGCTGGAAAACCTGCCGAAAATCGTACGATTCTTGGCAGGTTGGTAGCGTGGTCGGAAGACGAATGCCGCACAGGTCGGTGTGCGCAAGAGCACACTGCCCACTCAGCACTGCAATCATTGGAAGCCCGCCCCTCAGCGGGGATGGCTTGCGATGATCGCAAGTACAATCTGCTTGTCCAAGATGGGCAGATCGTACGAGATTTTAATGACCTCACAAACATCGCACGAAAGTTGTGCGATGGTTGTAAGGTGTATGGCCAGCTTAAAGCACAATAATACACTGCTCAACAACGTTACGCCTCCCCCCCCTTATTAATCCTCCCCACACATAAAATAATACACTCCCCCTTACTAATCCCCCACACATAAAATAATACGCTCCCCTTTATTAACCCCCCAACAAAATTATAATACACTCAACCCCTTCCCCCCCCAGCCCCCTCACCTGTTCATGTCTTTGCAGCGAGGAGGCTGTGAGCTGTGAGCAGGATCGATCCCTGGTTTATCTGTGAGTGATTAGAGAGGTCTGCAGCAGACCTCACTATCACCCCCAGATAGGATGGATCGATCCTGCTCACACACATTATATATGTATGTATATGTAAATGGGTAAGCCGTATTAGTCCAGTAGAGATGTATAAAAAACAAAACGGAATATTGCAGTATGCGATGATACCCTTCTTATTGGACTAACAAAATATTTAAAAGACAAGCTTTCGAGAGTTAACCTCTCAAAATACAGACTGGGATCAAAGTTCCAAATAGTTCAGAAACATTCTGGAAGTTTAGTCAGTGTTGATTTTTGTCTCGTCTGGAATAAAAGTTATTTGGAGCCTCCATCGCCCCGGAGAGCCGTACCTCGCGGATTCAAATTCTTTGGCAATCTCAGATGTAAATTGTATGCTTTGTTGTTTACTGATTAATACACAGTAAGTGAATTAACTAGATTAGGTTTTTCATCTAAATTCCCATCTCGGAGCAATCTGATGTTCCATACAAATGAACTTAATGCCCAAGAAGGTTTTAATTATGGAAGCTTTTGAAGAGGGAGTTGGAATCCATTTAGCGGATCTTTTTGGATTGTGTTTTGCTAAGTGCGAGTCCTGCCAATTGTGAGCGTTTATGTTTAAAGAGTACCTGTCGCCTTCGCTGCTCTTATGTGACCCAGGATTTGTAGGTCAGAAGAATGACACAAGCATTTTGTGATGAAAGTGGTGCGGAGTGAGTGCCGGAAGCCTGGTCGAGTTTTATAGCATTTTTCTTCCCTTTTGTCACTGAAGTGGAACTAAGAGGAAAACTAAAGAGTAACGTCTGTGTCTGTCTGTCTGTCTGTCTGTCTGTCTGTCTGTCTGTCTGTCTGTCTGTCTGTCTGTCTGCCTGCCTGCCTGCCTGCCTGCCTGTCTTTATTAGGTTTTGCCCACAGTGCCACTTGAATGACCAAAAAGATATCGGGGCTTCAAAATCTATTTTAGTTTGTCGGCAGCAATAATACAGATCCAAAATAAAAATGGTTGAAGTTCAGGATAAAAAGCACAATGTTGTTTATTAAACCAGATAAATCTGAAATATTTCATATGCATCATTTCCAGCTACCCACACTGCAAGGGTTAACTGCTCATTTTGGTCTAGGGCAGGGCTGGTCAACTCCGGCCCTCCATCTGTGCTTTAAAGGAGAACTATGAGGTGAGTGCTTTTCACTCCTCATGGTTCTAGCCGACCTGTGACAATGAGACTGTCACACGTCGGCTCAATAGATCGGGAAGTGAGCAAACATATACCGTCACTCGCTTACTTCTCGATCATCTCCCTGCAGATAGCCACGACCTTCAGTCACCGCTCCCCGCAGGGATTCCCAATCCTCCCGCGCAAGTCGAGGAACGGACGGGGAGGGGGCGGGCACAGCTGTCACTCACGCAGCTGGGTGGATCTCAACAGCATTGTCGGGATCCGTCCCGGCTGCGGCGCTCTCAGTATAACGCAAGTTGTAGCTCGCAATATACTGAGCTTTGGGTCACGGGAGGATGCTAGTGTATGTTCTCCCGTGACCCTTAGGAGTGTTATGGACTTGGTTCCAAATTTAGATCAGATCAAAAGTTCCGTACTTATATCTGCCGCCTGGCCTGATTCAATAGAGTATACTCTCACAGAGACAAAATGAAATTCACACCAACTCCAATCAGTGTACAAATCACTTCTGCTTTATTGTTCTCCTTTTCAGGGTTTTTATTTAACAGGTGAACGTGTATATTTGAGCGTAGCATTGCAGAAAAGTATTTTAGTTTATATATTCTAGCTTATCATTGGTTAGATCCATTTATGCATAACTTCCTGCCAAGATGTTTATAGATGTTTATATCTTTCGTCTTGGGTGCGTTGTCTGAAGAGGAGGCGCCAACTTGGTTCCAATTTCTGCTGCGTACTTCGGATCTGGGGGTGAGGGGGGGGGGCAAAAAGCAAATTAACATATATATTACAATTGATCTATTGAGATAGGCATTTTGTCATAATCATGCTTAACCACATCCATTACAGGAGAACTATGGGGAAAAACACTTACCCAATAGTTCTCTTTTAACTACTAATCCCAACGACCCTCTGCCTCTGGGAGTCATGCCTGCAACTGTCAGTCTTGCAATGCCTCATGGACTTGTAGTTCCACAACAGCTGGAGGTCTGACATTGCCCACCCCTGGTCTAGGGTCTAAAATAAAAAATATATACTCACCTGATCCTCAGTCCCACCGGGCTGCTAGACCATTCCCTGCAGCCTCTCGTGCTCCGGCCAGTCTAAAGACACGTGACATCTAACGCCCATTCACTTACGTTGTCCCACAGCGGCGGCGCCTTCATTCCACAGATGGAGTGGAGGGGGAAGAGAGGTTAGGGGTCACCACCGCAGGGCCAAGGATCAGGCGAGTATAGCTTTTTATTTTTTATTTTAGACCTAAACAAGCACTACAACAGTTCAGGTGCGCATGGTAAGCATGTGAAATCAAGCCTCCAGCTCCATTTAAAGAAGGACTCTAGGCATATTAAACTTCAACCCTTGCAGTGGTGCTATCCCTCGACATCAAGGATTAATGTTTAATATGCCTGGAGTTCTTCTTTAAGGGCCCATTAACACAACATCCAGATCATCTCCAGACCAGGTTGTTTTCATACTCAAAATGCATCCTAATGTATCTCTATGCTATTTCTGGTTCACACCAGCGGAGTCCGTTCCAGACAAGAAAAATACTGCTCGTCTCATTTTGTCTGCTCCAGAATGCACTGGAACTGCGGCAGCTTCACACTATTTTCTGGACCGGATCTGTTCCGGAAAATAGTGTGAACCTGCCCTAAAGGGAGCTGTAGGTTCCTTGTCACACGCTTACCATGCGAACCGGAACTGTTGTGGGAACAAGAGCCGATTGTTTACACAGAAGATTCCCTGCAACTGAATGTTTGTTTCATTTAGACATTCACAAAGGTTAAAGCTACTACTGTGCTGTCTTTATAGAAACTCCAGGCTGCTTTGTCAAATCTATGTCATTGATGCTCCTTGTAAATAAAGATTTGATGTGAATAAATTGTGTATATAAAAAAAAAACTAAACAAAAATAAAATTGACTCGGAATCCATTACAGTTTCCTTTTAGCAGCCAGCCGTAGCGGCACTTCTTATGGACTGATATTGAGTTTTCCACGGTCTCTGTGTTCTTATTGACATTCACACCATGCCACAAATGAGATATTAGTCTAATTGATACATCTGATTAGCCAAGTTAATGCTTTGTTTATTCTGCTGATCACTCCGGGTGTATTCCTTTTATCAACACGCAGCCTGTTAATCCCCAGTGTATTAGCAGCTCTGGAAAGCGCAACATACCTGCTTAGTGGAATGTATGATAATCCCCGCATTGTATCCCATTTCCCCTGTGCTCTCATCTGGTGAGACTTCATTAAGCTACCTGCAGGATTAGCGGGCCCAGAAAACAAACCGTATTGTGATTAGCGGAAGTGAAAGTATACACTTTGTCTTTCAATCTCGTTTCCCAGGATCACAGTCTCAGGGAAAAACTAAGGAAGAAAGCGGGCATCCCACTAATGTTTATCATTCAGAACACCATCGTCCTGGACAAGCCGTCGCCCAAATCCGTGGATCACGTCAAGGCGTTACAGACCAGCGAGCTGGTGCCTGACCATCACAAGAAGAATCTGGAGCATCTGAAGGATGAGCAGGGGGTGGCTCCGGACACAGAACGTAAAGGGAGAAAGAGGAAACGCGTCGGAGGTCCCAACCCGCTAAGCTGCCAGAAGAAGAAAAAAACGTCGGCTCAGCCTATCACAGTGGCTCCTGATCAGAAGAAGAAGAGGAAAAGGAAGAGAGGGAAGGGGGTGGGAAAAGACAATATAGAGACGGCATAGTGGGAATTATTTCTATATTTTTTTTTATATAAAACATGGTATGATATTGTTCTTTCTTTCAGCTTTTGTATTTATTTCACTAAAATAATGAATTTATTTTGGAGATGTGATTCACTTATTTATTCCAGGTATTTATAGAGCACTGACAATTTATACAGCACTTTACACAGCGCACATTCACATCAGCCTTCCTGGCCATCATACTGGTGCTTTGGCTGTATTGCTTTGTAAAGCCACTGACCTGGAACAGGTATAGATAATGAATCCTGACACCTTTCAAACTCTTTCACAGCATGCTTGTTCCAGAGCTGTGAGTCAAAAGTTTTGAAGCCATGCCACTAGCATTTTTTTAAAAGAGGGCCAGCAATGACAGCCGCCATGCTTTTTTCATGACGTCCTTTCAATGACATGTAAATTAGCGTAAAAGTCTAAGCACACATGAAGACACCGGAACAGATAGGTGTGCCCCCCTTGGTTTTGACTTTAACGTTCTATTGCCATCAGAAATTTAAAGCAGGTACATGCTGAGACGGTTAGCTGTTCCAGAGCCCAAAAACCTACTGTGCTACCCATATCTTTAATGCAGCAAATCCAACTTCAGTCTGGTTCTTCCACCTCCCACAGCTCGCTATTGGTCCCTTAGAGTAATAGGCAACCTCACTGACCAATGGTGAGGTGTGGAGGGGTCAAGTAGCAGCTCATCTTTCTTTATTAAACTTGGGGTTTCTGTAACGGAGCTCCCAGACCACCCAAGCAGCTCTCTAGTTATAAATCCCTGCTTCATTTTCTGGTGGCAGTTAAATATTCTTGGCGGTCTATTTATAAACAATCACAGAGTCATTCGGTCTACTAGGGCATACTTCTGGTTCCAGGGTGGAGCAAATCTCTGAGCAGTCTGGGTGTTCTTATAGAGGCCTAATGGCCAGCTTACTTCAGTTGGGCTCATTGCCTCTACCATTCCAGCCTCCCAGCACTCCTTCTAGTGGAAAAAATCTGCATACAACCTGAACCTGAAAATGCATACACGCAATAGGTTGGACTTGATGGACTTATGTCTTTATTCAACCTCAAATACTATGTAACTATGTAACCTGGGACACACATACAGTATATGCCATCCTGGATACACCCAGGTGATTTTACCTGCATGCTGTCACACAAAAATCTCAAGGCACCCCAGTCTAAAATGTAAAAAACGACATGTGCCCCCATCAAAATCACACCCTTATCCAAAACGGGGACTGGTATGGATTTTAAGGTGGGACCCTAGGCAAAAAAAAGTTCCCTCTTCACTTCAGAAGCCCCCATTACACCAGTGTCCCCCTATTTCCCAAAAATGTGAGGGCACCTCTGACAAAGCTAGAAGGCACCCCAGGGTGCCATGACACAGAAAGTCTGCTCTATACATTGCAGTCACTTGTCCATAGCTACTAAATGTGACACAGGGTCACTCATAATTATGGATGCACCGATAACAAGTATTTGGGCAAATACTCGTATTAGCTCTGATAATTATCCCTGATACCGGATTCCGGTCAGAGGGAGATTTCCTCTGACCAGCAGTGCTACGAGGGAACATGGAACCGGCTTCCCGGCCAATCAGGAAGCCGGGTGGCGAGTAATGACTTTCCAGCCAATTAGCATCGAGCCAGTCAAATAGCCCGGGCAATCATGAAGCCGGTGGTGGGTAATGACGCGCTGCTCAGCTTCCCGAGTGGCTGGGAAGCCAGCTCCATGCTAGAGGGAGTACCGATATCGGTACTCGGTATCGGTGAGTACCCAAAGATAAATATCAGTACTCGATACTGAAAAAATGGTATCGGTGCATCGCTTATATTATATTATAATAGAAGGCCACCTATGCTTAACTCTCCAGCAGCCCATGGCTTGAAACGAGGGAGATTTATTTTTAAGGATTGATATTTACAAGAACAGCAATTGTGATCACTTTGATTGCATGTATTGTTTAGCACATATTTATTATAGAGATTTGTTTATTTATTTGACTGTTCTAGTTGAAGCGCAGCACATTCATTATTATAATTTGATACATTTAGAGGGTAATACTTCCTATAGTGCTTGCAGCTACACAGGGTTTGGCGCAAGGTGCTATTTGTCATTTGTTTCCCCTAAAAGTAAAGCTGGTCATACACGGTGATTTATTTATTTTGTTCAACCTGCAGGCTGATCGAAGAAAATAGTATAGATTCCTCCATCAATGCTTATGAGCATTAATCGAGGAATCTCCTGTTGTCTTTATTGTATTCTGACAGCTGCCGACAGCCGTTGTCAGAATACCCAGAGCTGGCAACTCATTGGGTTCCCTCTCTGTTCTTCCGAAGATTTTCTGATCAGCTCCTTCGATCAGCTGATCAAGGGATGCCGGCCAAAAGGGTGCTAACAGCAGCACCAACTGCAAAGTTCTTAAGGAACTGGCTGAAATTCGCACATTGTATGGCCACCTTTAGTATAGCTAGGCTTCTTTTAACCTCTTGCCGTCCGCCCATTGTAAAAAACCGGACGGACGGCACTTCAGCATTGGCGGGTTGCCGTCTCCGGACGGCATTTTTTTCTGCTCGTGTGCGCCCCCTAGCGGGCACACACGGGCAGAAAAGACCCGACCATTGCACACACCCGTTACCGGGTGTTTCACATATAGGCGATCAGCGGCTCCATAGCCCGCCGATCGTAACAGCGCCGACAAGGACCTCACCAGCGAGGCACCATCATCGAACAGTGAGTGAGGGCAAGGGGGGTCCCTATGTAGAAGCTCTTAATATTAGCAGAGGATCATTTTAAATCTATTGTCTGTAGTGTGTGCTCTATATGTACTCCATATAGATAGACAATAGATTTACAATTCTCCCCTGCTAATATGAATGTTAGCAGGGGAGAATTGTAATTCTATTGCTGCAGACTGCAGTGTACGGGACGTGTGTGCTGTACTTGTACTATGGATCATGATTTAACCTAATCATGTTAGCAGGGCAGAATTGTGAGCGCCTCCCACAAGCTGATGCAGCGATCTTGCCCAGCGCTGACTACCAGAGGCACCACGTGAGGCAACAGGGATCGGAGTGAGACTGTGAGTGAGGGAAGAGCTTTACAAAATTGAGGGAGACATTAAAATCACAATGCAATTTCAGTACAGGAGGTAGGAGGGCCCTGCTCCAGAGAGTTTACAATCTAGTAGGAGGGGCAAGTGATACAAAAGGTAACTGTTTGGGGTGATTTATTAAAATAATTGAAAGGACTGTTATATTGAGGTGGAATTGGCCTCCCTGAAGAGATGAGTTTTCAAGGATCGCCAGAAGGCGGAAAGAGTAGGAGATAGGCGAACAGATTGGGGTAGGGAGTTCTAGAGGATAAGAGATACTCTGGAAAAGTCCTGGAGGTGACAAGAGAGCAGGAGAAGAGAGAAAGGGGCAGTTTGGGTGATATTTTGAGATGAGGTCAGTGATGTAGGTTTGGGCGGAGTTGTAGATGGCTTTGTAGGTTATTGTTAGTATTTTGAATTTTATACGTTGGAGGAGTGGGAGCCAGTGGAGGGATTGGCAGAGAGGGGCGGCAGACACTGATTAGTTGGTAAGGTGGATGAGTATGGCAGCAGCGTTCATAATGGACTGAATTAGTGGTGGGCCAACAAGGAGGGAGTTGCAGTAGTGAAGGTGAGAGATTACAAGGGAGTGAATTAGAAGCTTTGCGGTATTATTTGTTAAGAAGGGACACATTTTGTAAAGGTTACGGAGGTTGAGTTGGCAGGATTTGGATAGTGATTGGATGTGGGGCTGAATGGAGAGCTCAGAATCAAGGATTATTCGAGCACCCTGGCTTGACAGGAGGGGCTGATTGTAGTGCTGTTGATTGTGATGGAGAAGTCATCACAC